TGGTGATGGTGGTGAAGGTGGTGATGGTAGTGGAGATGGTGATGGTGTTGGCAGTGGTGATGGTGGTGGTGATGGCGATGTTGATGATGGTGGCGGTGGTGATGGTGATGGTGATGGTGGTGATGGTGGTGATGGTGATGGTGATGGTTGTGGTGGTGATGATGGTGATGGTAGTGGTGGTCGTGATGGTGATGGTGGTGATGGTGATGGTGGTGGTGGTGATGACGGTGGTGATGGTGGCGGTGATGGTGGTGATGGAGATGGTGATGGTGGTGTGGGTGGTGAAGGTGATGGTGGTGGTGATGATGGTGGTGATGGAGATGGTGGCGGTGATGGTGGTTGTAATGGTGGTGGTTGTGGTGATGGAGATGGTGGCAGTGATGGTGGTGGTGATGATGGTCTTAATGGTTGCCTGTCATCTTACCTTCACCCCTTCATGCAGAATGGAGATGGGGAATTTGTCATCAGCTTTGGAGCTAAGTAATAGCCTGAAGTTGGGATCAATATGCACTCTTGGTTTTCTGAACCTAGAAAGAATGAGACAATACATGTGGTTAGGTTCTGGACTAACCTGCCTGTGAGTGTGACAGAGACAATGTCAGGAGGGAGCATGGTCAGTATGAGAACTCAGCAGAAGGAGACAAAGACCACAGGAATAGACTGACTATCCTGTCAGGAATTGTGTTCAAAGTGGAAATTTAGTACAAAGGGAGATGGAGGCCGTTGAACTGGAATTTACAGCACAAAGTAAACTTCCCAGGGAACTAAGTGCGAAAGAATAAAGGGCTTTCCTGTTGTTTCACCAGAACCCTCGATTGCCTCACTGATTGAAAATCTGTCTAACTCAGCCTGAAGTCTTAAAAAATTTATGCGTGGGACATGGACATTGCTGTCTGGGCCAGTATTTTACTACCTGTCCCTGGTTGCCCTTGAGAAGGTGGGGGTGAGCTGCCTTCTTGAACCGCTGCAGTCCTCCTGCTGTGGAGGGCTAGTTGTGAAACTTTTGCATTTCCCGTTCTCAGGATTTTGACCCAGCGACAGTGAAGGAACAGCAAAATATTTTCAAGTCAGGATGGTGAGTGACTTGTAGGGGATCTTGCAGGGGGTTTTGTTCCCTTGTATCTGCTGCCCTTGTCCGTCTAGATGGAAGTGGTTATGGGTTTGGAAGGTGCTGTCTGAGGATCTTTGGTGAATTTCTGCAGTGCATCTTGTAGATAGTACACACTGCTGCTACTGAGCGTCGGTGGTGGAGGGAGTGAATGTTTGTGGATGTGGTGCCAATCAAGCAGCTGCTTTGTCCTGGATGGTGTCAAGCTTCTTGAGTGTTGTTGGGGCTGCCCCCATCCAGGGGCAAGTGGGGAGTATTCCATCACACTCCTGACTTGTGCCTTGTAGATGGTGGACAGGCTTTGAGGAGTCAGGAGGTGAGTTACTCGCTACAGTATTCCCAGCTTCTGACCTGCTTGGTGAGTCTAATTGAGTCTTTGGTCAATGATAATGTGCAGGATGTTGATGATGAGGGATTCAGTGATGGTAACACCATTGAATGTCAAGATTGTCTGTTATTGGAGATGGTCATAGCCTGGCATTTGTGAGGCACAAATCTTACTTTGCAGTTTTCAGCCCAAGTCTGGATATTGTTCCGATCTGTGTTCTGAGGAAGGGTCACCGGACCCGAAACGTTAACTCTGAAGCAGCTGAAGATGGTTGGGCCTAGGACACTACCCTGAGGAACTCCTGCAGAGATGTCCTGGAGCTGAGATGATTGACCTCCCACAACCACGATCATCTTCCTATGGGTCAGGTATGACTCCAACCTGCAGAGAGTTTGCCCCCTGATATCTATTGGTTCCAGTTTTGCTCGGGCTCCTTGATGCCACACTCGGTCGAATGCAGCCTTGATATCAAGGGTTGTCACTCTCACCTCACCTCTAGAATTCAGCTCTTTTGTCCATGTTTGAACCAAGGCTGTAATGAGGTCAGGAGCTGAGTGGCCCTGGCGGAACCCAAACTGGGCATCACTGAGCAGGTTATTGCTGAGCAGGTGCTGCTTGATAGCACTGTTGATGACGCCTTCCATCACTTTACTAATGATCGAGAGGAGACTGATGGGGCAGGAATTGGCCGGGTTGGATTTGTCCTGCTTTTTGTGAACGGGACACACTTGGGCAATTTTCCACATTGTCGGGTAGATACCAGTGTTGTAGCTGTGCTAGAACAGCTTGGCCAGGGGAGCGGTGAGTTCTGGAGCACAAGTCTTCAGTACTGTTGCCGGGATGTTGTCAGGGCCTGTAGCCTTTGCGGTATCCAGTGTCTCCAACCGTTTCTCAACATCACGTGGAGTGAATCGAATTGGCTGAAGACTGGTATCTGTGATGCTGGGGACCACTGGAGGAGGCTGAGATGGATCATCCACTCGGCACTTCTGGCTGAAGATTGCTGAGCATGCTTCAGCCTTATCTGTTGCACTGATGTGCTGGGCTCTTCCATCATTGAGGATGGGGATATTTGTGGAGCCTCCTCCTCCAGTGAGTTGTTTAATTGTCCACTACCATTCACGACTGGATGTGGCAGGACTGCAGAGCTTAGATCTGATCAGTGGGTTGTGGGATCGCTTAGCTCTGTCTATCACTTGCTGCTTTCCCTGTTTGGTGTGTAAGTAGTCCTGTTTGGTGGCTTCACCAGGTTGATACCTCATCTTCAGGTATGCCTGGTGCCGTTCCTGGCATGTCCTCCTGCACTCTCCATTGAACCAGGGTTGATCCCCTGGCTTGATGGTAATGGTTGAATGGGGGATATGCCGGGTCATGAGGTTACAGATTGTGCTGGAGTACAATTCTGCTGCTGTTGATGGCCCACAGAGCCTCGTGGATACCCAGTCTTGAGTTACTAGAGCTGTATGAAGTCTGTCCCATTTAGCACATCAGACTGGATGTAATGAGCCAGCCTCGACAGCTCTCTGCAGTAAAGAATTCCGTCGAGTCACTACCATCTGAAAGAAGAAATTTCTCTTCATCTCTGTCTTAAATGGCCAATTTTCTGAGAATATGTCCTCTGGTCCTAGACTCTCCCATCAAGGAGCAAAAGCCCCTCTGCATCAAACTTGTAAATTCCCCTAAGAATCTTTTACATTTCATGTTTTCACCTCTTATCCTTTTATATTCCAATGGGTACAGGTCCAATCTACTTCACTGCTCCTCATAAGACAGTTCCTCCATACCTGGGATCAGCTGAGTGAACCTTCTCTGGTCTGCCTGCAATACTAGTTGATCTTTCCTCAGATAAGAAGCAAGGTTCCGGCTGTGGTCTGACAAATGGCTTCTATAGTTTTAGCAAAACCTCCCTAACTTTATACTTCATTCCTTTTGAATTAAAGGCCCGCATTCCTTTGGCTTCCCAATGAACTTGGATGTGAGCTTTTTATGATTCTTTTACAATGGCTCCCAAGTCCCTCTGTTCTGTAGTTTTCTGCAGTTTTTCTTCATTTTAATACGAGTGGCTGGCACAGTGATTAGTACTGCTGCCTCACAGCCTAAGGGCCCTGGGTTCGATTCCAACCTTGGGTGTCTATGCGGAGTTTGGACATTCTCGTGGTTTCTACTGAGTGCTCTGGTTTCATCCCACAGTCCAGACATGCAGGTTAGATGAATTGGTCATGCTAAAGTGCGCAGGCTAGTTATGGGAATTGGGTTGGGTCTGGGTGGGATGTTTTCAGAGGGTCAGTGCAGGACTTGATGGGCAGAATGGCCCCTTTCCACACTGTAGGGATTCTGTAACATTCAGTTCATCTATTCTTCCTGCCAAAGTGCATAACCTCGCATTCCATCAATTAAGTTTTTTTCCCCACCCACTTAACCTGTCTGTATCCCTCTGCAGGCTCTTTGTGTCGTTTTCATTCGTTGCTGTCACACCTATTTTTGTGTCATCCATAAACTTGGCGATAGTGCATTCACTTTCCCCATCCTCATATATATTGTAAGTAATTATGGCCCCAACACTGATCCCTGTGCCACTCCACTAGTTATAGGCTGCCATCCTGAAAATGCCAACTGCCTCTTCATTGCAACTCTATCTGCTTTTAGTTAACCAATCCTCTGTCCAGGCTAATATACGGCCCCCAATGCCACGGACTCTTCTCAAATTAAGTAGCCCTAACATGTGATACCTTATCAAATGCCTTCTGAAAATCCGAGTATATCACAAACATTGCTTCCCCTTTATCTGTCCTGCCTGCTACCTCCTCAAAGAATTCTTGTAAATGTGTCAGAGAGGATTTCCCCTTCATTACGCCACACTGGCACTTCTTGGTCATGTATATTTCTAAATGCTCTGCTGTTACATTCTTTTTTATAGATGCTAATAATTTCCTAATGAAAGACGTTAAGCAAATATAGCAGGTCTGGCAGCATCTGAGGAAGGGTCACCGGACCTGAACCATTAACTCTGACTTCTCTCCACAGATGCTGCCAGACCTGCTGAGCTTTTTCAGCAACTTCTGTTTTTGTTCCTGATTTACAGCATCCGCAGTTCTTTCGGTTTTTATTAATCTAACTTAGCTGTTTTGTCTCTTTCCCTTTGTAAATAAAGGCAGATTGAGACATTTCTAAAATCTAAGGAAACTACTGATGTATCCACTATCTGTGTCGCTACTTCCGGTAAAATCCTTGGGTGCACACACTATTTCCATAATGACGGTTTTTGTATTTATTTCCTGTCATTTTACTCACTGATGTTTTAGTAGTTTTAAAATGCTGTTAGTATCTATTACTGTGAAGAATGCTGCATAGTTTATTCAATTCCTCTGCCAAATTCTGTTCATAGAATCCCTACAACGTGGAAGCAGGTCATTCAGCCCATCGAGACCCTGCCGACCCTCCAAAGAGCATCCCACCCAGACCCACCTCATCCCCGTAACTTTGCATTTTTACCATGGCTAATCCACCTAGCTTGCACATTTTTGGACTGTGAAGGGGAAACAGGAGCACCTAGAGAAAACCCACACAGACACGGGGAGAACGTGCAAACTTCACAAAGACAGTCGCTCGAGTGTGGAATCAAGCTCGGGTCTCTGCCGCTGTGAGGCAGCAGTGCTAACCACCGAGCCACCGTGCTACCCTTTATTTCACCAGCCTCATTGTCTAAGGGGCCTAATGTCACTTTGGCTTCAGATTTCTTTGTTATAAATTAAAAAACAGCTCTTGCTGTCCATTTTTATATTACTTATAAGTTTACCGTCAAAGTTTATTGCCTTCCTGTTTAATATTTATTTTGTTACCTTTTGTTGGTTTTCAAAAGCATACCAATCTTCTGGCTCATGATGATGGTATTCTCTGAGGGATGGTATTCTCTGAGGGATGGTACACGCTCAGGGGCGGTACACTCTCAGGGACGGTACACCCTCAGGGACGGTACTGTCTGAGGGACGGTACGGTCTGAGGGACGGTACTGTCTGAGGGACGGTACGGTCTGAGGGACGGTACGTCCTCAGGGATGGTACACCTTCAGGGACGGTACACCCTCAGGGACGGTACACCCTCAGGGATGGTACACCCTCAGGGACGGTACACCCTCAGGGATGGTATTCCCTCAGGGACGGTACACTCTCAGGGACGGTATTCCCTCAGGGATGGAGTTCATTCAGGGATGGTGTGTGTTCCATCAGGGATGGTATAGTCTCAGGGGTGGTACACTGTCAGGGGTGGTACACCCTCAGGGATGGTACATCCTCAGGGACGGTATTCCCTCAGGGATGGAGTTCATTCAGGGATGGTGTGTGTTCCATCAGGGATGGTATAGTCTCAGGGATGGTGAGGAGAAAGCTCTCAAAGGGTTACACAATCACTGGGAATAAATCCTCAGGGAGGGTATACACAAGGCTGTAGGCTAGGAGGGCTGTGCCCCTTGTGGTGATCAGATAATGGTGGGTAGACTCACGATTCCACAATGGCCTGCAGTGTTGGCATGAAGTAGGCAGCCAGGTGACAATTCTGCAGAAACACCCAGCGACCCCTCTGTACCAGAGCTTTATGGATCAGCTCTTCAGCGATAGGCCCCTGACCCCGGCCCAGAGACACCATGTCCAGGTGGTCTGTGTTCCCCCGGCATTCCTTCGCAAATCGCAGCACTTGAGAGACGGGGTCAGTACCTGCAGAGAAAAGCAGCCTTTCAGCCCAGGCAGACTCTTCCACTATCGTCTCAGTGCTGACAGCGATAGTCAGAGCGAGCAGATGATGAGCACCGAACTGTTACTATCAACCCTCCCCACACCACCCACCACCTATAGAGATTATCCCCCTCTCCGCCCTCCCTCACCCACCAACATCACCCCCTCCCCACTGACATCAACCCACTCTCCACCCTGTCCTTCACTCTCACCCCTCAGAGGGTCAGTACTGAGGGAGCGTCGCATTGTCGGAGGGTCAGTACTGAGGGAGAGCCGCACTGTCAGAGGGTCAGTGCTGAGGGAGCGCCGCACTGTCGGA